TTGGACTATTTTAGAATACAGTATCTCTATCATTATTCTTATGTTCTACAAAAGTAGATTAACAATTTTTTTCAATGAGATGAACAAACTCGACGTGTATTTACGTGTCAACAGAAAACATTATATTCAACATAAAAATAGAACTTATATTTATACGATATTCCTTTGGATTGTAAGAATTGTTTATTGTGGATTTTACTTTACTATATTTTCTTTTCCTAAGAATATTTTCTTTTATATTATACTTCATCTATCGTCATTCGCGCTCGATATGAATAGAGTTTGGAGATTTATTCTACTCGATACTGTGAGATATCGATTAAAGTTACTTCGAATCAGATTAGAAGAGGACTCTACATGTAATAATTACTTATACGTCAAAGATATGAGAAGTTATAATGAGAGTAAAATAACATTTTGTTTACATTTGTATAGACGTATCGCTGACATGATCGATTTGATAACACCGGAACTCTTAAATGGATCGGTACGAGTTTATAATGTCTAAGAAATTAATTGTTATTTTCAATGTACGATTACAATTATGATAATTTTTTTTTGCAGATCTTTGTTAGCGTAATATGCAGTTTGCCTAAATTGATTATAAACGTGTACCATATGCTACTAGTATTTGAAGGGCACGTAAGTATTTTTTAGTTAATTTTGCATTTTTTTTTAATATCAAAAGGTGATAAACGAGTGAGCAGCCACCTGAAATCCTGAATACTGAAATTTTACAGTGGTAGATCCCGCTTTAACATTTTCGCACCGAAATGAAATACCACGACCACATAGAAGACAGGCGTGAAGTGGAAACAATTCCGCGTTTCGTCTGATGAGTGTGCGTCCCAGAGACCTAATTTTAGTCCTCTTTTCCTTCCCACCATTTTTCTTATAAGGAAAGGATGGGAAGTGAACTTTCCGGATGAGAGGTTGCATGGAAAGGGAAAATATTTTCTTTCTGTGCATCCTCTCCTCCATCGATTAAAGGTACGACGCATATGCAATTGCGTACGTCTATGGGCAACGGTCACTTTGCTATTTCAGCGATTTCAGGTGTCCGCTAGATCATGAATTTATTTAACTTTATTTCATTTTTATATTTTCAGGAAGAGACATTTAGTGCAGGCTTTATCGTAATGCATATCTTTCAGATATGTTTCTTTATATTCTCACCTTGTATTGTTGTTGAAACGTATTCTGTAGAGGTGGAGAAGATAAGGTTATTTTTAATGCACAGATTGATCGATGAAAAAGGTATCAAATCTTACAAATTTCACCTTATTTTTTTTTTAAATTCAATTAGCTTTATAAGGACATGAGCATACTTATCGATATTTTAGAAAATGTACTAATTATAGTAACTTATACCGATGCTTATTTAGCTAATCTTACTAGTAATTTCACTTTCGTGAGACATTATACTAAACTGATATAAAAACGGCTAAACACTCACGTATATTCGTCCGGTGGCGGTACCGACTAGTTTCGAGCCCATCTCGTCTGTGAACTCACGTCGTCACTCAGTGAGCGACGGGCTGCGTCCGCGAAATAATACCAGTACCACTCATGATGAAGGGCCCCCTGATGGGCTCGAAACTAGTCGGTGCCGCCACCGGACGAATACACGTGAGTGTTTAGCCGTTTTTATATCAGTTTAGGATCGATGGATGTTTGTTAGAATGTATGTCCAAAACGGGTCTACGGATCGTGATGAAATTGGTCATAGATATAGAAAGAAGAACATAGTCTGGAAGAAAACATAGGCCACTAAAGTTTTTTTTAATTCCGTACGGACAGATTCGCGGATGACAGCTAGTTAGTAAATTCTGTTTAAAAAAAATTCAATCTTTTGCTTTTCAGATTCCAAAATAAAAGAAGATCTAAATATTTTTTTGAATTACACATCAATAAGAACATTTAGTTATAAGATCTGGCGATTTCTTCCAGTTAATATCTCGCTACCCATTGATATTGCCAGCATGTGTACTTCTTACGTCATCGTGTTAATCAATTTCACACATCTTT